AGAGTAACACAGCTACTTAATTGTCAATTGTCTGAGGCTAGATTTGAACTCAGGTCCTCCTGATTCCAGGGCCAGTGCTCTATCCACTGTGCCACCTAACTGCCCCGGTGATAGTTTTTATAGAAGTTTTTCTAGGAATAGTAAAATCATCACTAGATTTACACATGTATCTATTCAGTTATGTGCTGCAGCCAATTCCAAGTGACTCAACAGAGCTACTTGTTAAATTTTTAATGTGAAAATTTATACTATGGAAATTAGCAAAAGCTACAAGTCAGGGCTTGCTTTATTGCTTTGTTGCTATCTAGACTTAAGGAAAGGATGAAGAAAATGTTAATTCAAATTAAACTTTAAAAGTGTCAGGTATACTCTCCACCCCACCCCCCAAACAGCCAGTTGCTAAACATTTACCAGCATGATGCATATATGTAAATATAAACATATGCATATATACACACATATATTTAGAGACAGAGACGAGACAGAGAAAGAAATAAATGGATCTATATCTATCTATATCTGTTGGAGAAGAGAAGCACAAAGATCAGCTATGAGGACACAGTAATTCTTTCATTCATTCATTGAAAAATCATTTATTAAACACCTGCTATTTGTGAGTCGCTATGCTCAGCCCTTGGACAGAATGACAAAATGAAAAAAGATCTCTTTCCCTCAATCAAAGACATGAGTCACCGTGTTAAGCAAATCACAGATCTCCTAAGTATCGAAACAGCTGATGGCCTAGAATGATTGGACAGGATGTGGTAAGGGAAAGGATGCAAGCTTACTCTTGGTTTAATTGTGCTAATTGTTCTAGGTGCAAATGGTTCTGTCCCAACTTACTTTCCCCCTCCCAATCTGCATTCCTGGTTCCCTTCACAGAATTATAGCTAAGAACTCAACTGATGCACTAGTGAGTATATCTTTTAAGTCTTTCAGACAGAAGATGAGGGAGGTGGTCTCCTCTTTTTGGATTGATAAAAGAAGCGTGCTGTTGAATGATGAAAGCCAGAAGTGAAGACTTAGGCAGAATAAAACACTTGGAATTTTGCCATCCCTGAGAATACACATGCTATATTACCTAGACATTAAATAGATACTGCCTCTCAGTAAATTTTTGGTGGAGGGAAGGAGGTGGGAGAGACAGATGAGTAAGGGAAAAAAATTCAAATTATAACATTTTCAGCTTCCTACTACTGCTATTAATCTTTGTTATTTAAAGAGGTACAGCTAAAGCTTGTCAAACTGACAGCAGTTTAAGTACAGTTGGCTATGAAAATTTTAAAAAATATTATTTATTAAAATATTAATCTTATTATGATATTTGGAGCTGTAACAGAAGACACTATAATGAAAAATGAACCTAAACTGATAAGCAACTCAGAATATTACCTAGTATTTGTTGTATAACACTATCCCACTGTGAGGGGAAAAAAGGTGAAATACCCCTTAGGTTTCAAAGATAGTTGGGTATGATTCAGATATGTTATTTTCTTATTTTATTATAAAGTATTAACATTAGTTGTTGTGCTTTTCCTATTTGCTCTGGCATGTCTATTCAGAGAAGGAGAGATGAGTTTCTTTCTCTAGAAAAAGAGAGAATAAGACTAGATTGTCTCTCTAAGGTATTCTGGGTCCAATGAGTCTACACTGACATTGATTCAAAAAACAAACATTCATATATGACTGGAAAGCTAAGAAACTGAAAAAAAAATGTATGCTCCATGCATTAAATATTTCTAAAATACCCCTTTACAGAGCATCTTATCTTTTTTGAGGCTCCTGAGAGAGTGCCATATGTAAAAGTATGATTAATAATAATTAAAAATGATAAATAATTTGAAATAGTAACTTAAAACATAAGCAATAATTAACAATGATGCTATTATTTCCAAATAATCAAAGCCCTTTATAGTGCCATTAGTCACATCCAAGTCAACAAAAAACAGTCAATTCAAGAGTTCTGAAACCGTATCTCGGATCTTAGATAGATTTCCTACACCAGGTACCCCCCTTAACAATCTGATGCTGATTAACAAATTCAATAAGGAAACTGGAAAAACAGAACAAAACATTTGATGAATCAGTAAATGTATTGATGTTTCTGACAATTCTTGACCTAAACCAGTCACCTTGAGAAAAAAAAAATTTGTACCATCAAATGATTGACTTTTAAAATGGTATAAAAAAAAGACAGGTACTAAGATAGTACATATTTCTAATACCACTGCGTTTAGTGACTAGATAGATGAAAACAATTAGAGGAGAAGGCCTCTGTGATAATACATATAAAACTCCTAAATTTCTCTTCCTAATCCCATGGTCTCCCAACAAAATCTAATTACAATGAAAAGATCTCTTAATAGAGAACTTCACCCAATATGTAACTAACCCTATTTTGAAAAGAGGTCCAATCAGTATACTGATAAGTTGATTGACTTAATTCCCCTAAGTACTGAAATACTTAAAACATGGGAAGAGAGAGAGAGAAAGAGAGAGAGAGAGAGAGAGAGAGAGAGAGAGAGAGAGAGAGAGAGAGAGAACTAAGCTAGAGAAAGGGTGTTCTTAAGTAAGACAAAAATGTGACTCCAGGATTACAGATTTCCAGTAGAGAGCAATTAAAAGGCATGGTCATGGTAACAGAAGAGGTTGTTGGTTCACGCTTAATGGATACTTGTATTTGTTAAAGGAAAGAGAAAAAATACTCCCTAAATACCCTTAGTGTCTTCACAATCCATCTTTTATTTATAACAATTTGATATCTTTTCCCCCATGGCTATTTCCCTGACATTATTTCAATATGATTTTTGAAGTTGTACTACACCAAATAAAGGAGAAGTATTTTCCAAAGATACAACTTGGCAGCCAAGAGCTCATCCTGGCTTTGTATAATCACAAACAGGGTATCTCAGGTTGAAGTGACATAACATCTATAACCAGAGCTACAGGGGTATAGGACTTTCTCTCGGTTGAAAGAAGTGTAATCTGTTAAATAATGAATGGGTCACCATAGGCTCATTCAAGGAAATTGCATGAAAATCACCTCCTTTAACATATACAAATGTAAATGTTTTACATATATATATATATATATATGTATATATATGTATATATACACATATATATGTGTGTGTGTATATTTGTATATGTGTATATATGTATATATGTATATATGTATATATGTTATGTGAATGTTCATAGAGAAATTCCTGCAGAGAGAGAGAGAGGAAAAGAGAAGTGGAAGTACAGGAAAATCTAGAGGAGATTTCTATATGAATTATTAGATATAATAAAATCCAACACTTCTATCTCCCAATAGCCAACCCAATCCATGATCACATGGACCTGCCTTTTAATAGAGGGTCAATATGAATGAAATCAGGTTTCCGTAATAAAAGGATGAAATTTTATTAACCCACCCAACAAAGAAAAAGGACCTTTAGCCAGATAATATGTTTGCTGAGAATTGAGAAGAGATGAAAGAAATGAATGGCAGCTCTTTTAACTTTGGGCTTCTTGCCCGTAGCACTGACATTGCTGACACACACCAGGGGTGCCCCTAAAACACGGTAATGGTTATCAAAATTTGCAAGTCTGTTTAGAACAAACATTTACAAAACATTTTTCAAGTTGCTAAAACTCAACATTTTCTGGAAAAAAAAACTCTTAAACAAATATATTTGGTTCCAATAAGTGTTAAAATTAAAAAAAAACCCCTCAGTTTAAATTTCAGAATTTTCTTTGGTAAAGCTATGATGCAAAATGTGATGCAGTTGTCTTAATATTAATTACTTTCTATTCTGATTTTATTAGAGAATATTTATTCTAAAATGAGCATAAAAATGAAAATTGCTCAACTATCAGGAATTCAAAAAAGGGCTCAAACCTGATGCTGTAAATCTTATTGCCGAATCATAACATCCTAATACTGAGGGACATCTTGAAATGTGGGGCATCTCAAGCACATGGTGCTCAAAACCTAAATCAAAAAATGGAACTAGAAGAGAACTTAAGATTCAACATTCGCTATACAGAGACACTAAAGCCATATGAGATGAGACAAGTGGCTGAAGACAGCAGGACAGCCAATGCATGATGACTACAAACACTCCTTCCTGTCACTTTTAGGTGTGTGGTCCTTAAAAAAATTATTATGTTTATATGTTACTTACATTTAGAAGAGACCTCTGAACTCTGTTAGCTTTAGCGAGGCTAGCGCACAGAGAAATGATCCTACTAACTGCTTCCTCTTCTCTCAAACGAAAAATATGTAATTGAGCAATTTACTAAACAAAATGTATCAAACTTACTTGTTTTCTAAGGCCACTTTGAAGTAATAAGCCTTTATTGAGAAAATCATGTAAACAGAGTAGAACTGAACTATGTCATCAACTCTTGATATATCCCAGAAGGAAAATTTTGTCATAGGATATCTATTACATATATACATATAGATGCAATTTTAAATATAATTTTGACAAATGAAATAATGTCTTGATTCCCAAACTTCTTTTACTTGTGACTCAATATCATTTCTTTTGATTACAAATAACTTTCTCCAACCCCTAAAAGGATGTATGTATGTTGAATAATGTTTTAACTGAAATAAATTTTGTTTACAGGAATTTAACACAACTGCCTTTAAGGTAACTTAAGAAAGTCCATTATTTCATAAAACCAATTCTGAGATTCACTGCAATATAATGAATACTCCCTTTTATTCAGAATATATTTTTGAGAGCATGAGTCATTCAAAATCACATACTTTTATGTTATCTTCCTTTTCTCACAATGACACCCTTTTCAAACTCTGCTAAAAAGAAAAATATTGCTTTTCTTATGAAATAACCATGGCTAGCAAATTGTCAAGACTGAACTCAATGTCCTTCCTATTTACTGTCAATCACTGTGTGCAAGATAGGGAAATCCGTACAAGAAAAAAAAAAGAAACCAAAGAACTGAAGAGGCGCAGTAGGAGGAACACAGAACATTTCACCTACCATCGAATTTCTTGTGCCTTGACACAAAGGTGGTGCGCACAAAATGGCTTGTCTCTTCCACGAGATTTTCAAACTCCAGTTTGCTTTGTTGGCTCAATTTGTCCTCCATTTCTGTGGTGCAGCATGTGTATTCCTGAGGGCAGATTCTTAAGTGTTCCCCTAGAATAAGCAGATAAAATGGTGGAATGTAATTAAAAGTACTGCAGCAGACTATTGGGAAGGCATTTCTCCATCACTACCCTGAAGTATCATAGTACCATTCTATCAGAATCTTTCAATCATTGTCACAAATTAAACCCTCACTTTACCAAAGGAAAAAGCCCACTTTTTGTAGTCCAAGTTGCTAGCCATGTAAATGAAGGTGTATTATTAAGAGAACTAAAAAGATTATTGCTCTCTGTTTTCATTTGAAGTGCCCAAAGTAATACTTGGTGACAGCCCTAGTAATAAGGTTTCAGATGTCCTTGTCTTCGAAAGCTCAAGGTAGAGGAAAATATTTCAGTGATATTGCCATAGTCTGTTTAACAAGCAAGGGTAAGAATGGAAGATGATATTTCCCTGCTTTCGTTTTCTGCCTGTCGATTCAAATTCAGACACTTTTCTCTCTGAACAAGTGAGTATATTTCTAATGGCAGGTCTTGGGTCCCACACTTTCCCATGGCTGACATTTCTTGTCAGACACAGAAAAAAAGCTCTCCTGAAAGAAGGAATGCACTGAAGGGTTTAATCAATGCTTATGTTATATGGAAATGCAATGTAAAAGGTAGTGAAAGCCTCTTATTTAATTCAACAGATTTATCTCTTGATGTACCATGCCAGTTCTTTCGACAATATTGCTTTCTTCAGTGCTATTTGCAAGGGGAAGCCAATTCTTTATCTCATGAAATTAAAATGGTCTGTTATTACATAAAATGTGAATTTCCAATTGATGCAGCACTGTTAACGTCAAAAATATTTAGCATGGGCTCTGAGGAAGAAAGAAAACCCACCCAAACTCTAGAGAAATAAAACTGACAAGATCCCCTGTGATTAAAGTCATTCATAAAGCATTGAAAATATTAATAGTAAGTGCTTGACACTGTGATTAAAATTCATTTATAGTATTTAACAGTGCCAATAAAATAACTTGCCGTGCCCCTGGATCAAATATTAAGTATCTTGTATCTCTCCAACTAGTGTTGTGTGTAAACCTCTGAGTATTAACACCACCCAAATTAAAAGTAACTATGTATGGGTATTAAAGTATAGCCCTTGTATAATCCAAAGAAGTGTAAGGGATGGGAAAATTCATCCAAAACAAAATAAAGGCAAAATAAATTCTGCTACATAGAGGATTGCTTAATGTTGCTGCTGGGCTACCAACTACCAGTCTTCAAAATTCATGGGGCAAAGAGGAAGGAAAGAGAAGGAAATTCCTAAGAACCAGAAACAGGGAACTTTAAAGCATGTATTTTTAAATGGCAGACATAAAAAATGCTGAAAATTCTAGTCCATCTTTAACATAGGGAAGATACTAGAGAATCAGTTTATTTAGGATAATATATAACTGACAAGTAACGAATATGGTACCAAAATCACTTCATTTTTTTCTGAAATCAAGTGACTAACTGCTCAGATTAGGAAGAGTCAATATTGGAAATTCAGTGATGTTTTCTATGCCATTACACATGATTTCCTCAAATACGTGTGTGTTTGCATGTGTGTTTGCATGCATACAATTTACTATGTTTGTAAAGAACATAAAGTACCATATTTATACAAGCTACATGTGGACCTGGCTTGTATAAAACTGAAGGTACGAATTATAATCAGTGTTAGTGTTCAGTCTTTCCATATATATATATCTTTTCCTTCTTTTAGAAGAATCAGTAAGTAGACTGTCACAAAGTCATTCACAATCTCTGTCACATCCATCTCCTTCTTTAATTCACAAGGCCACAAACCTGACTCAGAATCTCCTCATCTTACCTACAGTGTGACATTAGCCCCCTTTCTATTCTCCTTGCCTCAAGTCTCTCTCTCTTCTCCAATCTCTTCTCTACACAAAAGCCACATTGATATTCCTAAAATCCAATTCTGACTTCATTCCTTACTCCCCTTGCTCCCATGATTTCCTCTTTTTTCTAGGATAATATAAAAATTCCTTTTAAATTGGCTTTTAAAATCCCTTCTAATTTGACTATAGCCTACCTTTCCAAACTAATTATATATCATTCTCTTTCAAATACCCTACTTTCTAGTCAAAATGGCCTACTTGCTGTTCTCTATACATGAAATTTTCTCTCCCATCTCCATAACTTTGCACAGGTTGTCCCTCATACTTGGAAGGCACTATCTACTCATCACCTTCTTTCAGCATCCCTACCATTCTCTTGGAAGCTCAGGTCAAGCATGACTCTCTAAATGAAGTTTATCTTGTTCCCACCTATATAGTTGCTAATGAGTTCCCTCCACAATTGCTTTGCATTTGATTTTTTAAAAAACGTTTTTGTATTTAAAAAATAAAATTTAAATTTACCTTTATGTCTAAGCTGTTTTCTCCAAATAAAATATAAGGTCCTTGAAGGCAAAGTCTCTAATTTGTTGCCTTTGTATTCCTAGAGGTTAGCACAGTGCTGGAGACATAATAGAATTTTTTTGCTTTTAATAAACATTAATTGAATGAATGAATGGTTCAATATTTTGTGCTGATGATCTGAACTATTTGAACTCTATCTTTGCATTCACCAAGACAGTAGGATATACTATAACTTCAAACCACATAGCAAAAAATTGTTTGGATAGATGTAAGAATGTTTTGATTATAAGATTCAGTTAACACTGAAACTGACAGCTGAAGAGGTTGTAGAAGGAACACCCCAAGAGCAATTTCAAAACAGAACATACCTTGTTCTTTGCTTTCTGTGTTAAGCCACTTAAGAGACAAAAAGGGATACAGAGACAAAATGAATTTCTTGAGATCCCTTGCAATGTTTGAGAAAGTAAATACTGTCTTACATTTACAAGATTTCCACCAACACCTGTGCACACTTTTAAAAAATTAACACCACACATATATTCTTTCTTCAAAAATGTGAATTTCTCAGATTTGTTCATCATTTGGCTTAAAATGTTGTTGTTTTTCCTAAAAGAAGTTTATGTTGAAACAGGGACATTTGCTAAACCTTTAGAATAATGTAGTGACCATATGAATTTATTTGATACTCATGAATTAAATGCACATAACACAGGATTATAAATGAGAAGATTTCCCCCCCTATAGTTTCCAAACTCCAATTATAGAAGTGTAGCCACTTCCCTCAGGTCTTGAGAGGTTTATTTTCTTTCTTGTAAGCTTTTCACTGAGAGCTCTGTGAAGTTTCTTTTAGCAGACTTGCAATTTTACCGAAGTGGAAAGCAGCAATGGTATATTGAATCTGGAAGAATGGTGATTTCATTAGTGGTGTTAAGGATGGTGATATCACTGTTTAGAGCAGGCCAAAAGAAGAAGCAAACTGCAAAGTTGCTGAAACTACAGGCCCATTTATTTGGCTAGGAGCAAAAAAAATGTCCTGACTTACAATGATTAGATAAATAATAGGCTTCAGGATACTCTTTCCAGACCGCAGTAGCCTATATCCTGGAACACTGATTCTCTCTAATGTCACACAATGAAACCAGAAGAAGATGGTTTTTATTAGATCACTTTACCATCTTCTATATATTCCCCTAAAGCTTCTAGGTAATGAGAAGCCAGTTAGATAGACATGGGGCCAGACCTGCAGGAAGATTTTATTGACATCTAGGAATACTTTAAAAATATAAATTAGAACTAGATTCAGGAACCCACTCAAGCCCGTAGTCATTATAGGTTTTAATTATAGCTTGTTAGGGATAGGTGGTAAGTTGCTAGGATACAGAAACTTTTGAACATGTTGGGTATTCCTTGGAAGTCAATTATTAATGCTTGTCTATATCTCATTCTGGTGCTTTGTCACCTAACATTTCCACAGCGATCTTAATTTTTTCCTCCCAATCTTTTTTCTACCTATCAACAAAATTTTGATGGTCGGCATATTAAATATATTTTCTCATCAGATCAGATCACTAATCAGATGAGATTAGTCATCTCATTATCTCCAGTGAGTTCAATTATCATCTTTACTAAATGATTCCTAGATCTATTTATCCAGCCTTAGTCTGTCTCCTAAGCTCTACTACTACATCATCAACTACCTACCTGACATTTCAAAACAGATATCTTGAAGACGCCTCTTCAAAATCAATGTGTCCAAAACAGAATTTATTATCTTTCCTCCGAACTCTCTTTTCTTCTGAACTTCATTATTCCTACCACAGATACTACCAGCTTTCCAATTCCACAGGTTTTCAACCTCAGTGTCATCCACCACTTCTCTCTTGCTTACTTTACATATTTAACGTGTTACCAAATCTTGGGCTTTCTCCTTTGCTTTCAAACTTCTTCTAAGACACAATTCACTGTAGTCTAGTTCAGACCCTAATCATTTCATAACTGGACAATTGCAAAAGGCTACTGGATGGTAAACTTTCTCAGGACTCTCCCCTATCTAAGCCATCCCCTACAAAGCTGGTACCTCTAGGATAAAATATAAAATACTTTGACTTTTAAGGCCTTGAATTCATAGCTGATGTCTTCTTACATTTCTATTCTTCTTATTCTTTATGCCCTTTCAGGAACTCAACAATCTAGTGACGCTGGTCTAGTTTCTCTTCCTCACACATGATATTCCCTTTCCCAGCTCTATATTTTTGTATTGCCTTTCTCAAATGCATCAATTGCTCTTGCTCCTCAGCTTTCACTTTTAGAATCCTTGGCTCCCTTTAAGATTCAGATCAAGTGTAATTTTTTCTAGGCCTTGCCTGGTCTCCACAGATACCACTGCTTTGCCATTTAAGGCTGGCTTCCATCATCTCTACACTGATCTGTTAAGTACAGGTTTATTTATGTTGCCTTCCATCATTAGTATGTAAGTTTCTTGGAGATAAGGGAAATTTTGCTTTTTTCCTTTCATCCCCCAGACACTAGTATAGTCTGTGGCTCACTGCTGTTGTTCAGTCCTTCAGTTGTATCTCACACTTCATGACTGAGTGACATAGCATGCCAATACTGTCCATGGGGTTTTCTTGGCAGAGATAAT